TACAGAATCAAAATTCTAAAAGTGATATTTACGTATTTTTTTTTAAAAATTCCCTTTTCATGCAAATCATAAAATAGAGGAGAACTTACACAAGCTTGTAAGATTTCAGTAGTATTAACTAGAAGATAGCCTTAATGAGAAAGAAAAAAGCAAAAGAAAACACAGACCACCAGTAATACAACAGAACAGCATAGTCATTCAGTATGCCCGATGGGATGAGTTCGCACTGAAACATATTTCCAGAAAACTGAAAGACTCAGCTTGATCTATGGAGTATTAAATACTGGTCACCTAAATTTTGGAAACATCTGCCAAATGCTGGAAACTTAGGTTGAGCTGTTTGTTCTACTAGTGGTTAGCTGCAGAACCAATGATCTCTTGAGCTCATGATAATAATGACAAATCTCAGTGTAACAGAAGATGTTTCCTTTCCTGTTGGCTGTGTACTATGGGAAGGAGTAGGAATCATCCATTCCTCTAACTGGCAAGCAAAAAAGCCCAGACAAAGTGAGCGGGTAAATGTAACAGAGTCAGGATGAGAATCCAGGTATCTTAGATGCCTCAACCACAATTACTTTTATGAGACATACTGTTTCTCCTTTAAAAGTCTCTAATATGGGCATAAATATGCTGTATGTACCAACTTATATTACATGGTCATGAAAATGTTCAACTCCAATCTACAACTCTGATCTACATGTTAGTAGCAATAAATATTTCATTACAATTACTCTGCTTGCTATTCTAAATATTTTAAGAATTTTTATCTACACAATTTAGATGGCTTAAGTTTCTTAAAAACAGTTTTTCATGAATATTTGAACAGATGCCAACCTTTTTCATTTAAAAAATGTCCCTATCTCAAGAACATTCTCTTTAAAAAGAAATTATAACTCTCTAGCATTTACCGACATATCTGAGAACTAAAAGTTTATAGAGAACTAATTTCTTCAATTTTTCCTTTTGTTTTATAGCCCTAGAACAAAACCTGGAAGAATAGATGAGTCTAGTTTGATCATAAAGCCACCAATATTGTTGGTTTTGACAATACTGTATTTTTCAGTATTTGTTTTTTCTATCTTCCATTGCAGATTTACTTAAGATCCCCTCCTTTCTGTGCCAAATTCCTTCCTCAAATATGCTTGTGTATTTGTTTAGGTATATTAATAACATTTTTTGGATACGAAGCTATCCTTAAATGTGCACTCACACAAGGCTAAGAAACTTCTTCACTCCCAGGCTTAGATATTTAGAAATGCTTAATTTCATTTCTATCCCCAGTTTTTAGTACAGTGCTTGAGAAAGTATTGGTTGAATAAATGATTTCTCCTTACCTCTGAACTCTGAACATTGTTTTCTTCTGAGCCAGCTTACCATTTTATATATATATATATACATATATATATATATATAATACATATACATATATATAGGCAAATGTATAATGGATATATATATATAATTGGCAAGTGCAAATGGATATAAAATTTTGAACATGCACATATGTACACAGACTGAGAAAAAATATTTTAAATGGTTAAAATAATTTTGGATTTTCTAGAGCTTACAAATAATCATTAATGATATAGGGGCATTCACCTGACTTATATACATGTATGTAAATGTAAATATATAAATATGAATATATTATTTATCAACTTTGAAAAGTATATTCAAAAATTTAATAAACCATTTTTGAATTTACTTTTTCCTATTCATTTTCTACTTATATATTCAGAAGACATACTCTAATGTGACTACTAGACCACAAAAAACATAATTCTGTATTATGCAATGAGATTCAATTACTGTAATGAAAAAAGCAACTATAATGGATTTGGTACATTATAGTCACTGTGTTAATTTTAAGTTCTAGCATTGCTATAAATTCTTAAATTCTGAAGTCAAAAACTTTTTTCCTTTATAAAACTTGGATTACTAGTAAAAGGCATAAAGCACATAAGCTGTTTTTAGTGTTTAAACAATCTATGATTGTGTTCATCAACAACCAAAACAAAATATTACTGGGAGCACTCAGACATATATCCTCTAATAAAGATTGTTCATTTTATTGTAAGAAATGAAAGCAATTTCAAGATCTTATGTTGTAATAATTAGTGACACCAAAAGTTTCCCACAAATAATTGCAGTTGATACTTCTGGTCATCTTATAGAATCTATGTTCCCTAGAGACATTTGCTTGGCCCCCTTTAGAATTTCAGAAGGATTATATAGTTACTTAAGCTGAGTACAGTGCCTTGATGTCTCAGATTGCTAGGAATATACCATCTTTCCCTTTCCCCCGCAAAATAATGTACTCTTTCCCTAAAGGAAATGATAAAGAAAGTAATAAATTAAAAACTGAAAACTTAAAAGTTAAAATCTTCGTCCACCAAGCCCGGTACGTCAGACTTTTGGCTCCAGGCAAACACCAATGGGCTCAGGTGTTCTCTACACAGTATACACAAAGAAAAACAGTAGAGACCTGGATTTTGCTCTGCTTTTGAAAGAAAGGAAACTCTTCCAAGGAAACCTTGAAAGCTTTTCTCTGTGAACCAATGATGAAATTATTCTATGCCCAACAAATCAGAAAAAATGGTCTTTATTGCTAAACTGCTGTAATTATTGAAAGTTAGAGAAGTAATGAAGGTAGATTTGCAATTACTAGTTTGGATTCAAATCACATAACATACCAAACTTAGGATTCCTTTTAGGTTTAATGTCTGTTACACAGAAACTTTCACAGATCACAGATATAGTAATATACCAATCTGAGACAAAAAGTGAAATGTCATAGACTAAACCACTGAATTGTATATTGAAAGGATAAACATCTGCCCCAATTATCTTTCTCATTAATTATGAGTAAGTACAAACTGCGATTGGGGCTAGATATAATAATGCAAAGTTTGGCTTATAATAGGGTATGCTTATCAAGCCAACTATGTACTAACATAAAATCAAATTCTGGATTGACAACTAGAAATCCAAATTTCTCCAAAATGGACATGATGTACAATTCTCAGTCTCTGAGAAGTATAATTAGAGAAACCTCATCTCCTCAGGCAGGAAGATGAAGTCTACTGTGTACTGGTGCTGATGTGCTTTTCAGTACAGTACTGTAAAGAAAGATAGCTTCCTACTTACTTGGTGCCTGTGTTATGAAAATGAAAACATAGTTATTTTTATATCTTGCTGCTTATATTTTTTCCCCTTTCTTTCCCATTCAAAGTTCCTTCTCTGGCAGTTTCTCTAGCTGCCTAAATTTTTCGAGGGAGCTAACCCGACGCGCTTGCCTTCTAACAAACCCTGGGGCATCTGCCCTTCTCCCAGTAACAAGAGTACTGCCCCTGATTTGCAGTCTTCCTCAGTACTCAAAACTGGGCTAGAACCCACCAGAAAACTAAGAGGCAAGGGAGCTGCGGAATGAATAAAGCTTACTTTTTGCTAGCTATTTTGCCACTCATTTTTAGAGTTAATCCCCAGTGTGTCATACTTTTTATGGAGTAGGCCAAATTTTTTCAGGCTCTTCAGAAAGCTCATTCTAAAAATTTTGACTCTACAAATGGAGAAGTTATACAGCAATTAACATGAAAGGAACTAAGGGAAATTCACATTGGATTCAGCAAGTCATAAAGAAAACCGAACAAAGCAGACCCTCAGAGCTAGTGGATACAAATTAAAGACTGTTTCATAAGTCAATCTGTTTGATAATAATTTGCCAATATATGAATTAGTTGTATTAGAAGCTAAATAGATAAAACACAAGAAAATAAACCAAATGAAAATGGCAAAATAGTTTTTAGGATTAGGAAAAAGGACTACGTTGCTAATGGGAAATGTCTACACAAATGAGCAAATTTTACCTGTCATCATCTTGTGAAAATCGTCTTTGCAAATCCTCTTTATTCCACTGTTCGTTTTCTTTCCCTTGCTCAGGTACATCTTGTGCTTTCTCCTCGTCTCCTGATTGTCTGTTTTTCTCCTTATCACATGTTTTTGTGATCTCTGTCCCTTTCTCATTCTCACTAAGTTTTTCTTCCTTTACCTCTTCCTTCTCATGAACTATCTCTTCACGCTTATCCCCTTCTTGCCCTCCCTCTTCTATTCCCTTGGGCCTTTTGAAAGCAACACACATCGAAGGCATGCAAATAAACACAAACAAGAAAGAAAAAGTCAAGGAAAAAAATGCACATGAAATTAAACAGAAATGTAATGAAAACTACCAAAACAAACAAAAATTCTATCTTTTAAATGATGAATACTTTTTTTCTCCAGTGTCTACCAGAAGAAGCACTGTGTAAGCAACACTCAGTCATCATTGTTTTTAGATCATATTTTCCTGTCACAAAGTTGCATGGAAAAAAGTTGTAGTCTCCATTACAGATATTTTCTGATGTAATGGGAATAAAAAAAAAATAGCTTAGGTGCCTATAAAATCTATAGGTCAGGTGATAAGTAAAAATGATACTAACATATATTACATTTATACATTTTCTTGAGAAGCTGAGGACTTTTTCCATGCATTTCTAAAAGTTTCAGGAGAATGGGAGAGCATCCTACTAAAAGAGTAATATTCTTATGTATTCTGAATCACCGAAGTGTATTAGGCTAGGGAAAAAAAAAACCCTTCAAAGTATTATTTTTCCTATTCCTCGGAACCTTAACAAATTCAAGTCTTAACTTAGCCATCCCTTTAATTTCAGGAAAGATATAATAATAACAGAATTACTTTTTAAAACAGCAAGCATGAAAAAAATAACTCATGATAGGATTTCAAGTAGTCTAGTAGGAAAATTATGTTCTATAAAACTTTTCTGTGCAAGTAGTTTGAATAGAGACCAAAATATAATAAAGAGTGGTATGTTCAGAACTTCTTACTGCCTTAACAACACGTATTAACCATTTTGAAATCCAGGATTTTATGTTTATCTAAAGAAAAATCAAAGACTTCCTAAAACATGTTTAGAAGAATTTCCTGCTCAAGTCCCCTTACTCACCTGATTTTCTTGTTTCCTCTTGGCCGTTCTGATTGGACAGACATGTAGCTCGTGCTGCTGAAACGAGAAGCACTACTAGTCCTTGAAACCGCAGATATATCACTTACATCACTGTCCGAAGATTTAGTGGAAATATTATCTGCCCCTCTATGAGGATCCCATCCTGATCGATACTGTTAACACAGATTGACAAACACGCAGAGGTTGTCAGTATTACCACACAAAGCAATCATTAGCTTCTCCTATTTCAGCACTTTAATTGTCCACAGAGGATACTGCAAAACCCCACTCAGTGGCATATAAAACAAAAGTGAATGGCAATTATCCTAAAAGAAAAATTCAATTTATATGAAACCCTCGTTTTTAGCAAAGGCAATTAGAGCATTTTCACCACACCCCAATGAAGGCCATTAAAACGGTTTCACAATAGCAATGGCCCCAGGGAAGAACATTTAGGTAAAATCTGGGAAATAAACATAATATAAGGAAGTAGAATTGTTTGATTTCTGTATAGAATTTGAAAAAAAAAGTATAAGGTTGCCATTGTAACTTATAAAGACCAATTTTAGTAGCCACCAATGTTCTCTTGTAATCCATTATGCTTCACTGAAAACCTAGAGATAATATAAAATCTAATTATTAAAACACTAATTTTTTTAAAGAAAAGCCAAGAAAAAAGAAAGTTTAATTTTTGCATGGTTGCTGGAATTTTGATGAATCCTAGAAATGCTAGAAAAAGTCATTATTATTTACAATAGTTCAAATTTCCTGGAATTGAAATAATCAAATAGTTATCTGGCACAACCAGCCTGCAGGGTGTTCTGGGTGGTCAAATATTCTGGTAGGTTGCAAGCCATCATGAATGCTTTATGTTCATGACACTTGGGATGTAAAAAAGTATTAATACTTTGGAGTCTGGAAAACCTGGAGCAAGAAAAACTCTTACTAGCTGGGTAAACTTGAGCAAATTATTTGACCTTTATAAGCCTGTTTATAAAATAACAGGGATAATAGTATCTTGCTTGCAGGGTTGTTTTGAAAATTAGAAATAATACATGTCTGCTATCTAATAATATAAATAAATAATTATGATTGTATCATTACTACCTGATGGCTACTAGTGGGTTAAGAGAATATCTACTAATAGGTATTTCTTTATTTACATGCACTTCAAACATAATGTTGAAACATCCTTATTTGGTCGATTTTGCAATGGAAGTTTTTCTAATCACAGATACTAGCAAATTTCACAAAGCCCTAAAAGATGATTACCTTATATAAACAATTTACTGTGACTTGAAGAATCTTTACCTAATAAACCATCTGGTAAGAATAACAATTCACTGCAAATATTAGATAGATATAAACATTCTGGCTAAAATAAATTGAATGGTGATAGGGTATAGTATAAACATTAAATCAGATTAAAATGATCTTTTTTTTCCCCCCAGGATCTCTCAGTGTCTAGTTATATATTTTTGAGTTAATGACTGATTCTTTTCTTCAAATATAAAATGAAGGGATTAATTTTAAGGCTCCTTAAAATTTGATATTCAAATCCTTAATCTAGAAATACACATTCAAATTAGGTGAGGTATTGGCCTTTCTTAGTACATTTTAACTTTCAACTTTGTTGGGTAAATCCAAGTATCAAAAAGAATACACTTAAGTTCTGCAAAACTCGCTGCCTTTTTTTCAGGGAATACCTATGTAAATAGAGCCTTCATGTTGATTTTAAAGGTAGATTAGTTATTTACAGTGAATTTATTGGAGAACATTTAGTCCATGATATTCTTTTTCAAACTGAAGTCACTTTAAAATATTAAAAACAATTTTTTGTGACATTGTGACATTTTGTGACATTTTTAAGTGACAATGTCTTCAGCCATTGTATAGAATAGCATTTCAATGGTTAGATCCAACATTATCTAAGTTAGCCAGGATATAAAAAATGTACTAAAAGCAAATGAAAAACCCTGAGTTTTAACTGTAAGAGGTAGTAAGAAATAATAATGTAACCAGAGCACATGCCCTGGAGTGAGAATGAATTATTGGTCTGAATCCTAGCTACATAAAATTCTTAGGTTTGTAATCTCAGGCCAATTGCTTCTATAAGTCCCAGTTTTTTATCTGTTAAAACATGGACAACAACTGTACCCATCTCCTACGTTTGCTGCAAGGATTAAATAAGATAATGTATGTAACAAAGCACTTAGCACAATATCGACATATAACAAGTGTTTAATAAATGACAAATGACGATGATGATGATGATGATTCGACACTAGTTGAATACTGGTTTAGTATCAATTCCATGTATATCTTTACTGAAAAAAATACTAGGTAGAAATACCCCAAAATAAATACATTATTTTAAGACTGCTCTAAGCTACAATAAAAATATAACCATTTTTACATATCTCCAAGAGATTCATTTCAGAAAATATGTTTATAAAGCAAAATTAAAATATGAAACCAAACTTTTCCACTGACCCCTACTCTGTCCTCAGGTCTCACCTTCCCCATTTGACCAGGTTCATCCATATCCCATTATTTTATGGAGAACTTCTGATTCCCAGACACAGGATGAGAAGTAGCTTTATCTCAGCAGGAAATCCATGACACTTCTTGGCTGACAGAGAACATGCCTCATTTTTAGTATCTGTCTCTGGTACGTTATCTCAATACACAAAGCCAACTGGTATCTGTCTATTCTGTGTTTCCCTGATTGGTTCTTGTCTGATTGCTGTGCCTTCATTTCTGAATCCTAACTCTTACTTGATTTTTATATTTCACTAGTTAGGATTCTGACTTTGCATGCTCTAGTCTTTGTCTTTTTGAGTTGTCATGACTTTTAATCCTGTTACTATGATTCATAGGTACATACGGGCTAGCCTATGGCTTAAGAATTTGGTTTTTTTAAAAAAAAAAAACACACATAGTGCACATTGCACATATCTTTGGCTAAGACCTCTTAGATAATTGTGTTTGCTGAGCTAAAATTTTGGATATGCAAAACTTAGGGAAAGATAAGATTACACATATACAGTTTTATAGAATTCAACACACGCTAACTCTTGTTAAAGATGTGTGTTTGTGTGTGTGTGTGTGTGTGTTTAAGTGTGTTCATTTTTAATTTTCAAACCCTCTCCTAGAATATAAGCTCCTAAAGGCCAGGACAATATCTTCCTTATTTTAGTAACTCTCTTAGCACCTAAGAGTCAAAGATTTAATTTGATTTAACTTAAACTCTGAAGCTTAGTTTTTGTACCAGTAAGATAAAGATAAATCTCATTTTAAGGATTCTTGCGAGGAGTAAGAGACATGATATATTTAAAATACCCAGTAGTGTGCTTAGTAGCACACAGCAACTGCTCATTTCCAATGCGTAAAGCAGAAAGTCATTAAATAAAAAGACACTGAGTGGAAAAGTTTATATAAAGAAAGAATACAAATTAGCTAACAGCTCTAGTTTGATGATGATTCTACTGCCTTCTCAAGGCTTCTTTTAAGTGCATTTCTCTGTCTACTTCTAGTCAACTAAGTAGGTTTACCTTTAGGGTATAGATCAGGTTTCCATTGCAAATTTACACATGATACACAGAATGAGAAATATAGAAAGTGAGAAATAATAGAAAAAAATCTTTTTATAAACAGAACTTCAGAAGAACATATTTTAAATATACTTAGAATATAATATCTTCACATACACAGCTGCAAAAAACCCAAAATTCAAAGTCATAAATGACCTAATATTAGAGTTTACTTTTAAAGCAATTCATTATTTAAAAATTTCTTAAATGTATTTTTTTTCTTTTCCTAAATTATGGTAAACAAAAGTTTCTAGTTTAACAGTGAGATAGCAGCAGCTAAATTATTATTGTACCAAGGTAGTTATGAATGCAAATCATCTCATTTATCTAGAAAATGGCTGGTGTTGTCTTGGCACCATACAATAAAAAATGTTTTCAACAATTAGCATGTATTAATTTACAGCTGACAGATCAACAATGGATGATATCCTCACCATTCTCTTTAATGGAACAAAAACAAAGAAGATTTATTACATAGGATTATATGATCTCAGCTGAAAATTGTGCCCTGATTGGAGATCATTAAAATCTTGGAAGACAGTAAGGAAGCCTTTCCCGACAGCATTCTGATGTTTTGTACGTTACTATTAAGTAGATCATGAACTAGAAAAATTTACAGGAAATTATTATTCTTCAGGATGTTCCAGACTCTAAAGAGTTCTTAAGTGGCCTAGAAAAGTTAATGTTCTCTCTATTCATCTGACAATAGTGGAAAGTAACAGCATATCATCAAAGCTCTATTAAAAGGAAAGTTATTATTAAAATTTTAGAATAATATTCCTGAGAAAAAAGTAAATTCAAATTTCTAAAATAAGATTTCCATTTCTCCAGTATACTCATATGAAGCTTTCAGATTAGGCAATTTCCCAGCTTGATTTCTCTACCAGCATTTCATCAACTCAGGTTTGAGTTTTGTACATGAACTTCTCAGACAAGACACGGGAGTGGGACTATGAGTTGCCTTGAGCATTGCTTATCTTTGATTTATTAAATTTCACCAGAAAACTGCAATTTGTTGTCTGGGAATCTAGTCCAAGACTTGGTTATTGCAAAATACCAGGCAGGAAAAAAGTCTAAGTTTGAAGAAAAATAAGTTTTATGTCATGAAGAAATACTTGGAGGAATATTCATATCATATTCAGAGAGAAAACACAACGAATAGATCATAAGATTGGAAAAAAATAGGGCAAACATAATCTTTGGAAGGTAAAGGAGAAGCTGAAGTTCTGGACAGGGCTCTCAACACCACTGTGGGGGTCTGGAGGAGACAAGAACAGGGCAGGGGGAGTCTTGGCACTGTGGACAATGAAATAATCATGTGAGCAAGAAGATGCTCTCATTTTTGCTAACCTATTTTACAGTATTTCAGATCATAATTCAAAGAGTCCTATTGCCTTTTGATAGTACCAAAATTGCAGAAACTCCCTCTTTGAGGAGCTACTTCCAGATGATTTCCCCTCTGTCCCAGCCAAGGCTCTTAACAGTGCTTGATAGGAATGTTGCACTATGCGAAAATCTGTTAAGAGATCATTTTGTTTAGATACGACTCCTAAAGAGGGTATTGTGTAATAAGGTCTCTC